TTTGTGAGACATTTTGTCTCTTGGTTCGTTTTTAAAGACTCCTCAATAAGGATGACCAAGGATTATTTCAATTATAGCTTATTTATTATTAAATTCTTGATTATAGAATTATTTACAGAAAAGTTACAAATAGATACATGAGCTGTTGAGTATAATGTTTTTGGAGCGCAACTGCTCCCTTTCTTTTTGTTCATACTAAATCTATCATCGTTCAATTACAACTCTACTCTTCGGCGTTCAAAACTAATCTCGTCTCTAAAAAATCCTCTTTCCCATAAGAAACAGTCCTTTGCTCCACCCCCAAGGTAGGGGACGACACCTCCAGTGTCCTTCACCCTCTGACCCTCAGGTCAAGGGGTCAATCAAATGCGTGGGAGAGGAATCAGGATCCTGACAAAATTCAAACTTTTTTCCAGCGAAGTCTAGTTGACCAGGTAATCCAAAACATTGCTACATGACTTCCTATTGTTTGGCAGTAAGCTATTGTTACCAATCGATCTAAAGAAAAACTTCAAAATTCTTATTTTTAATCAATATACATGAAATGTTCATTCACTGGTTGGTTTACCCTGTCACGATCTAATACATATTATTTGATTGATCCGTATTTTGCAGACCCGCAGTGGACTGATCGTTAAGACACGGTTCCCAGAAGATCACCGAAGTCAAGCATCACTGGCTGCGGTCAGTGTGCGGGTGGGAGACCACTTGGATCAGTCTGCGTAGGGACCGAGGGTGTGCAGTATGGGTCCTCGACTTCGCGCGTAGGTCATTGGGCTACCGAAGCGGGGGTGCCATCCCCTTTACAGAGGATCAAAATTGTGATGGCTTGTCTTCGGATCATCCTCAGGGATGTTTCCTAGACCGTCGTCAATTGCCCATTGTGCAGCTCTAGTGCGACGTAAATTAACTACAACAACCGTATTTTGCATGGGTAAAATGTACGTCATTTCTCTAAGCTTCAAGAAGCATGTAAAATAAATTCTTTCATAATCTGGCAACAGATTTGCTCTATAAAATTTTGCAGAACATTCGGTGTCAAAGGAAAGATAGTTTACATAGAAATATGTTCACTTGTATCATATATTAACTACCTATTTAATTTTATAAGTTTTTTTTTTCAAATATTAACCACACCTTTAAACTGTCCCATTCTAACCCTTATTAATAATAAACTTAAACGAAGGAGTAGATAACCCTAATTTGCCTCTATGCTTGATACAGGAGTTTTCTGTTTTGGGTTCAAAATTACAAATTGAATGGAGTTGAACATTGGTAGTCATAAACTCACATTTGTGTCGGCAGTTATACGACAGTTCTAAAAAATTTATCACAGTAAAGATTATGACTAAATCACAGAATATGGATATTTAACTTCATAAACCATCATTAAGTGTCATAAAATGATGTTATTCCAGATGTATTCCTTCAAATTTTATTAGGTAAGAATTTTAGCCACGACAGGATACATCTCTTTCTAAAACTGCTGAATTGAACAGTCAGGAATAAGTTTCTTAAAAGGGTCATATAATTAAAAAAAAACAAGGCAACGTTACTTGGGGAAAATCGTAAAGACAAGTTTACTTCGTGAATTATGCCATTGCATTGTTCTGAAAAAATAAAAATTAAGTTATTAAATAAATGATGGATAAAAATTGACAGTTAATAAATGACAGTTAAAAAATAAAAGTTATTTTATTTTATAACCGTCATTGAACAGCTAGGGGGGCCCTACCATGAGCTACCGGGAATGGAATGAAGATTCCCGGCTGGAAGGAGAAACTGGGAAAGCTTGGTTCCATGAACGTTCAATACCGCACCATGAACACTCCCTTGGAATCAGACATTCCACGAGAACTCTCTCTCAGGGCGTGGCTAAAATTTAACCAATCACACAATTTACTTAAGATTTTCTTTTTAAGTTTGGCAGCCTTAGCATGAGTAAAACGAAACGAGCTTCTGCTATTTGGATAATATTTTTAACGATTTATTGTTTTCTTTTTATAATGTTTTTTGTTTTCATTAGACTAAAAAAACAAACTGCGAATACTTCGAAATATTCTTTAATTTATTATACACATAATTTTAGTAATTAAAAACTGTCATATTTATCATGTATAATTCATTGGATAAAACCACTTTTTCATAATAAATATTTCTGATATATCCTTTAATACGTTTCACTATTTGTTTTAAATATTTTTTAAGAAGTACAACTCTTAAAAAAATGATCATATTTTATTGAATTAAGATTCAAAATTTCGTGCCTGAGTACTGCGTGTAGATTGATTACTAATTATACTAGTTTTCAAATCAAAGCTGATTGCCAGAAAGAAATCAAATTTTATCAGACAAAAAATTAACGTTTACCTATCGGTCTCTTAGAAATTAACTTAATTTCAGAAAAGTTCATTAGTTTTCAATTAAATTTGTAACGATATGAATGACTAAAGTCTCTACTTTGCTTATTACTTTGGTTTATTTGTTACATTATTAAAGTGACTGTTTTTACTGATAGTTAGATAAATATTTTCACAAGAAATTAATTTATAGATTTGTGTAAAAAAAATTTCGTGATTTGTAAAATCATTACACGTTTGAAATACTTAAAAATTATAGTTCAAGAAACTACTTACACAGCTTTTATAGTATATATTTTAATGGAAGAATGAGAATAAAAAAATTTAAAATGAGTAAAAGAAGAAATAAGTACATATTTCATTAACCGATTTCATTACCGATTCGAAGCATTTTTATTCTATTTACTTTTCCCGTTATTCTTTTTCGCATTTCTTATTATAAATAAATTGTTTACTTTATAATACATCATGCCTGTAACAAATTCTTTTAAATTTGATGCCATCTGTGTATAGTATAAAAACCATCGTTCGGAATGAAGTTAAATACTGTTGAATTAAAAGTTCATCGAAAGAAAATTAAAAAAGAAATGATTGGAACTTCAAAAAAATGTATTGGTCAAGTAATATATCCCAGATAATATCCCAATATATTCCAAGTAATATAACATAAAAATAGTAACAATTATCATATAATGAGAGCATAATTATATTTAGTTTGCCGTAATTTCTTAGTTAACTCTGAAAGTATCTTTTCGTTTACACATACTAATGAAACAAAACATTTCTCTTTTAATTATCGTCTCAAAAATGGTTCGGACACGTTTATCTTTTAGAAATTTTGTTATATTCTCTTATGAAATCGAAAAAAATTAAGTCATTCATCGGCGAAATATCGTATTTAGTCCTCAAAAATTCATCATTCCCTCCAAGATTGACCGCCATGTTTAAAATGATCAACAAATCCCTTGATTCCCTCTAGGAACGACGATTCTAGGTGCCAGAGACTGGTTGGAATGAAACCGATTCCAATTCCAGCTAAGAAACTCTTTCCAAGGTGTTCGTGGAGGGGAAAAATAATTCCCATTCGATCGTGACGTCATTCCCAGATGGAATTTCTTTCCAGCCTAATTTCTGGATTTACTACAGCTAATGTTCAATTCCGCAGCCTTGTAACTTTTAACCCAATCCAGAAGAGAAGCGAACTCCTGGATCAAGCATTGGGAAAAATGTGCCTACGTGAAAGAATTTTTGATGGAACTATCCTGCATTTGCGTTAAATGGAGAGGAAAACCACAAAAACCTCCCACGATTTGCATGACGGATAGGGGATTCTAACCCATTTACTTTTGAGGATATTTTTACGTCAGCACTGTGTTCGGTACGTGCAGGGTGCAGAATTCGCATCTACCAGCCATCGCTGTGATTCAAATCCGGTTCACCTTTTTGGAAGGCAAACGCTCTATACCCTGCGCCACCACGGATCAGTTATAAATTATAGTTTGTCTAAAGCAAGAACTCCCTTTGCCATTCGTCTGGACCCGTCGCGATGACTATGGCAACGAGGTATAACTATTTCAAGTAGGTTTTAGCTCGAGCGAGAGAAACAGAATCTTTTTCATTCGTCTATTGTGTTAGCCCTAAATTGAGGAGAAGCTACCCTCCTTAAAATGCGCTGTTCTTGTTCCCACAGCAGCAGACCACCTCAGATTTTGTGGTGGGAGGAGTTCTTCCCTTAGACAAACTATATCTGATTTTCCTTATCTTAATTTAGTGACTTGTAATGCTATTATTGTTACAAAAATATAAAAAGATTTCTATGCTAACTCTATGTAAACAATCATTCTTTTAGAAGTAAATTTTTTTGAAGATTTTACATTGCAAAACTGTTGACGCAGTTTGAAAGATCATGCTTGGAGCGTTTAGAAGTGGGGTCCTTTTTACCTTTATAAGATTTACATCGACCAACAGAAATGCCAACTGATCCGAATTCGACAAAATATTAAAAAATGGTTGAGAACTACGAACTAAAATTTGTAGATTTTCGGTTACTTTGGCCAACTTTTTAACAGGCTCAACATGGCTTTACTTCAGGGATGCAAACTGTTCACCGTTCTACTAACATTTAGTAAATTGGTAGCGAATTCATTAGTAAAACTTGCAGAATGAGTATAATTACGCCTACTCTTTAGCGGTTTCATCCCGATATGAGTACAATAATGTTGCATTTCATATGATGATTTGAATCTGATATAAATATTACAATCTATTATCTGACATAAATATTACAATCTTACTATAGTTAAAAGTTTTTTAAATTGCTTGAATCTTTTAATAATGATGTCTGATTCACCCATTTAAAATTCGAATCAATCAAAATGCGAAGAACAGGGCCCGAGCAAAGGATTTCAAATTTATAGCCAGTAAATTAGACAACTATCAAAAGTCTTCACCAAATGCAAATCTTCATTTTAATATTTTATGATATTTTATTCCCATGGAAAACTGTTTTTCGGTTGTTTGTTTCTGGCGTATATTATTTGGACCCAATTCTAAGCAGTTATGCATCAATACAGAAAATTACTGTAATCGTACTGTAAATGTATCGACAACACAGAAAATTACTGTAATTGAATAAAAATTTCTTATTTGTTTAGAAAATTTCATTTGGACGTAATTTTGAGGATCGCGTTAAATATATTTTTTTATTTCCAGTGGAAAAAATCATTCGCCAAAACAAATTTTTATACGTCAAATTTACGATTTTATCGTATTTGGCAAGTTAACGAATGCTTAGAACCAGAAAAAGGATGTTATTAACTGCTTATTAACTTTAATATTAGCAATTTTATAAACAAATTTATAGGATTGCAACAATTGTATTAGAATATTTTTTTAATTTTAGTGGTATTAAAAAAGAAAAGTTTTTAACTACCTACACTAATGTTACTCGATGCAACTTTTATAGGCCTAAAATGGATCCCACTTCTAAAAGTTTCAAGCATGATTTTTCAAACTGTGACAACAGTTTTGCCATGTAATATCTTCCCAAACATTTACTGCTGAAAGAAAAATTGTTACATAGAGGTGATTCTCTTTTTCCGAATCTTGTATATCATATTTAACTATTCTTATTTTGTTTGCTTTCCAGATCTTCATATTTTTCAATAATATGTTCCTCAGCTTCTTGGCAGCTTTGGTGCTAGGTTTAATCTTCGAGTCTCCTTTAATGGCATTAGATAAAGCATTTTCGGATGGAAAGCTGAGAAAACAAATTAGGCCAATCAATACAGTGAATGGAACTGTTATGTTGAAGAATGCTGTGTGAATATTGAACTCTGTGAATATGACTGACTTATTTTTTAAAGACGTCCTCATTGGGAAGTGTGTGTCAGTTCTTCATTCATACTGCCTTAAATCCATTGGTAATTTCCAAAATGTTTTAACCATTCCTATGCTGTCTATCACAAGCCATTAAATTAATAAAAACAATTTAAAAAGTTAAGATTAAGAAGGTAATTGTCATGCATAGTAATGCATATTTAAATTCATTGTTTTGAAACAATGCAAATATGGAATTCATAACGTTTCATATTCCACCTATGCTCCAGATCAGGTAAGGAAAATTAATTCTTTTTCTTCGTTCAGATGCATTTACTGTTAAGAATCCTGTGAGATTTTCGATAAAAAGTAGAAAGAAATAATTTTTTTATGTCATAACTTAAGTTAATGACGTTGTAATTAATTCAGTATTAAACTTATGTAAACTATAATCAAACTTGTGCTTAACACTAGGTTCAAGGACGTTTCTAATATACCTATCTCTACGAACACGCGAAAATTTGACAGCAAATATATATTTTAAAGTGGTTTATCACTTGTGATTCTTGGTTTAATAAATTCAATTTAGTAGATTTTTATCCACCTCTATTTCTGATTCATTCGTAAGCTTATATAATTCACCGCTTTATATTTGAAAAATTTACTTCGTAGTTATTTACCGCTTTTCTTAAAATTCTTTTCGGTTTTCTGGAGCAGTTGGCATCTCTGCGAAACAATGTAATTATATACTATCAGAAAAAAATTTAAATATGAGATATATATTTATGAAATATTCTAGCATTTTATTTTTCAATACTTGAACTAAGCAACTGAAACCTNAAAATATAAGATATATATTTATGAAATATTCTAGTATTTTATTTTTCAATACTTGAACTAAGCAACAGAAACCTTCAAAATCTGACACTCTGACATCAATTGGCATTCTGTGTTTGTTCTTTCTATTATTGCTTACCGGCAACAGTTGTTTATCACTTGTTTCATTTGAGATAACGATATCGGATAACGGGTCGAAGTATTGTCGGTATTTTCCTATTTATTATTGATGTGATGTTTGCATGTTTACTCAAAATTTTGTCTATATTACAATCGCGTCAAATTGACGCATATCCGTAGAGATAGGTATACCACAAAGAGAATTTCTATATTTCAACGCTTTCGAAGAAATTCGACTTCAAAATATATTTACCTCGATCAATGGATAAAAGTCATTACAAGAGATAAAATAAAAATGCAAACGGCTTTTATAATTTTCCTTATAAAATTCGAAATGCGTCAAAATAACGCGTCCCGCAAACATAGTGCTAAATGTATAAATTTCCAACATTTAATAAATTTTCAAACATTTAATAAATATTTATTAATCATAAATAGCATAAAATCTCACAAAATAAACAAAGTATATTGAGCAATTAAAAATCCGTAAATATTTGAAACAATTCTGTTATAGACTGCAAACGTCTTTAATGTAAAGCCCTAGCATTAGCACAAGATAAAAAATCAGCACAGTATAAATAGAAGCGTCTCATATAAATCCAAAAAGTGGCAAACTATTTAAGCCAAAGACTGTTCAGTAATTTGAGATTTAGCCCTCACGTTGCTTACTAAAGTCTTGCGAAGATGTTAAGGTGGGCAATTCATATCCTTCAAAGCTATTACTCATATAGGAAAGATAAATACATCGAGGTAAAGGCATTTAATTTTTACTCTTTTTCTGTTAAGTATTATAAACAGTTACCTAATATACATTTACTAGTGGAAAATTTAAAAATGTTTGTATATATATATATCACTTTTAAAAGTAGTTATAGTCATTAAAATCTTTTTCTCCGAAAAAATAAAATACGAATGAAATGCTCCTACTACAATTCTTCTGCCTTTTCAGATTAAGTTTTAATCCCTATTCTACGATTTGAAATCAAAATGGTAAAACAGGGCTCCCAAAGCTGCATCAAATCTTTTAAAGCGGTAGCGAAATTTATACTGTAATATATAGTTTTTGTTTTCAAAATTTAATATTAAGTTTTTCTTGATCACAACAAAGATTTAGAAACTTATTGCATGTAAAGAAGCCTGATACACGCTAGATGTATGTTATTTAAATTGTAGTGGTTTCAAAATTAGGAAAACTTTAAATTGCTTTGATGAGTAGTTTGCTACCACTTGAAAAGTTTTTGAAGGACCCCTAATAACGTTATGCGTTANCAAACGTCTTTAATGTAAAGCCCTAGCATTAGCACAAGATAAAAAATCAGCACAGTATAAATAGAAGCGTCTCATATAAATCCAAAAAGTGGCAAACTATTTAAGCCAAAGACTGTTCAGTAATTTGAGATTTAGCCCTCACGTTGCTTACTAAAGTCTTGCGAAGATGTTAAGGTGGGCAATTCATATCCTTCAAAGCTATTACTCATATAGGAAAGATAAATACATCGAGGTAAAGGCATTTAATTTTTACTCTTTTTCTGTTAAGTATTATAAACAGTTACCTAATATACATTTACTAGTGGAAAATTTAAAAATGTTTGTATATATATATATCACTTTTAAAAGTAGTTATAGTCATTAAAATCTTTTTCTCCGAAAAAATAAAATACGAATGAAATGCTCCTACTACAATTCTTCTACCTTTTCAGATTAAGTTTTAATCCCTATTCTACTATTTGAAATCAAAACGGTAAAACAGGGCTCCCAAAGCTGCATCAAATCTTTTAAAGCGGCAGCGAAATTTATACTGTAATATATAGTCTTTGTTTTCAAAATTTAGTATTAAATTTTTCTTGATCACAACAAAGATTTAGAAGCTTATTACATGTATAGAAGCCTGTGTAGTACACGCTGGATGTATGGTATTTAAATTGTAGTTGTTTCAAAATTAGGAAAACTTTAAATTGCTCTGATGAGTAGTTTGCTACCACTTGAAAATTTTTTGAAGGACCTTTGAGAGCCCTAATAATGTTATGCTTTAGTCACCACTTTTTAAGTTTTTATGGGACGCTTCTATACTTGAATATTTTTAACAGGAAAATCAGTAATCGACGAACAAACTTTAAATGATTATTACAAACAACCAATAAATGATTGTGTGCTTTGAAGTATGAATCAAATATTTAATATAAAAAGTGTAAAAAATATGTAATCAGCATACTATTTAAAGCTTCATTCTTAGACTGATCGATACACCCCCCAAGATAATTACAATTATATTGCAAAACTTTTCTATTTTGAGAAGTAACGAAATTTTTTTTTAAAAACATTTTCGGAATATATTTTATGTTTAACTTAGCTTTCAATCCCAAAACCATTGATTTTTGTTGCTATCAGTAAGCAATCAAAATTAGTAATTTAAAAATCGTCATAATCTGGGCATCAAAAATAATATGTTATACCCGTTGGCATAGAATTAAATCCTCCCTTCTTAGTAAGTGATGAAAAGTAGCAAGACCTAGCGAATCGTATTTTGCTAAGAAGGTAGAGGAAGAAACTAATATAATGCTATATTAACAAAGAGGTGTTTATTACCTCATTTGTCTAGATAGCATTATGATATTTTTATAATCATAAAACTTATGCGTTGAATATATTCCTAAGTAAAATGGCTTGCATAAGTTTCCTGACTCCCTATTTTTTATAATATTTGTTAGCTTATGGTAATTTAAATTAGTGAAAAACAAATGCTCTTTTATTTAATTTTTTATTTTGGCAAAACTAACAGAATATCTTTTTTGTTATTGTACGTATAAAAATTTATAAGCTTTACTTAGCAATTTTCAACCTGGTGGAACATTTTTTTAATGCCAGGTTTAAATTAAATGTTTTCTTTGCAAAATATCGTAATTTATTGCTTTTTTCTTAGTAAGACGAGACAAAATCTTGTACAAAAATTGAATGTAAATAATTTTATCCATAAAAGTCTTAAGCGATGATTATTGCAGCATTTTGTGGTAATCAGCAAACATTGTTTATCAGCAAACATTGTAATCAGCAAACATTGGAAGCTTAAAAACATTACACATTCATAGCAAATTACATTAGTGTTTTCAAGCTGTATGTTATATAAACGATTATAAGTTATTTACAATCTTATTGCGCGTAATTTAGGATCTTATTTTATAAGTTTTTAATGATTACTTAGTATTTTCGCGGTATGAAAGTTGACACAAAAGCAGAATCTTTAATTCTAGGTGAAATCTGAATGACATTTATTTCCAAGTAAAATTATTTATTTTATATTAATGATATTAAAGCATTGCAGCAATTTTATGACAGATTGTAAGTTTCAGCAAAAAAGTTATATTTATGAGAAGCTATAATCATGTACTATAGAAATTGCACTTATTTTTTTTTTAAAAATTTCTTTCCAAAATCGATTTTTAAATTCATAATTCAGATCGAAGTAATTTTCTATATAAATTCTACTGGAGATTATAATAGTAATTATCTGTATTCAAACTTTAAATTATTATCTATTAGAAATATAAGAGAACTGTATTAAATTCATGAATATTAGTAAATTTCAAGTCGAATGTTATTTGCGCAAATACCGCTAATATACAATTCAATTGCTTGATTTTTAGTTTTTAGTAAAATAAAAGCCTTATGTTCGACATTCGCACATTTTTTTTCCAGTTCATAGACCTCTTGAAGTTTTTTTAGAGTCGCATAAATATTTAATAACCCCAATAAGTAGGCAGTGAACAATGAGGAAATATTTCGATATATTTTTTATTCTAATATCATTTTAACCGCGTCACTTATAAAAATGACTTTTAAATATAAGTTTTTTTTAAATATTTAATTTTTTTAATTCCGAAGATCTTAAGCATGTTAAGAATAACTGTCGCAATTTTTTGTAAATTAAAGAAAACCCTATTTTGCTAAACAATTATTTTAACTAGTTTCCCTTAGTTATGATTTCTACGAGAGTCATGGAAAATAACATTTTTATCTTAAAAAAAATCTATTAATAGCTCTCACTTAACAATTTACACATATCGCAATAAAACATCAAAAATTTCTCGAACTAAACATTTTACACACTTATCTATCTATTTTGTCATTTTAAGAACTTTTTTATGCGATAAATATAATTTAAAATTATATTTTAAAATTATATTATAAATTTATATTTTAAATTTATAATTATATTTTAAATTAGGAGTGCACAATTTTGCTTTGCAAGAGGCCGCAGTGAAAATTTGGATATCAGAAGCCATAATGAGTTTTATTTTTAATTCAATTTAAAATAACTTAATTATTTTTGTGTAATATACCTAAACAATTGAAAACCAAAGTATTTTGAATTTTGCAAAATTGGTTTTCTTCAATAAAATTAAATTACAGCAGATTTTTAAATTTCTATGTTAAAAAATTTATTATTTTTTAATTTTTATTTATTTTTTACTGTGTAATTATTAATTTGCATCTTTAATTTTTAAATGAGCACTTATTCAGTTTTTGTATTAAAGTTTAAAGAATAGTTTTCTTCAAAAAATGTCGAAAGTTTTAATACTGAATTCGAATTAGTATGTTTAAAGTGTAATTTTATGTCTTAGGTTAAAAGTTTAATTTTAGGTTAATTTTAGCTCGGTAATAAAACTTCTTATATTTTTTTCCATCAATTTTTGGTTGGAAAATAAGCGGACGGGCGTTGACAGTTCATTTGACAACCGAGACACAAGTTTTGCACCCCTATCATAAATAATTTAAAAATTTCTTTTAAGATTTAAAATAATAATAATCATTTACATACATTATAAACCATATTTTTGATCTTCAGTAAACTAATATTTTCAAAATAATCTTCAAATGAAAATATTAATTAATTTGTCTGGAAGCACACTTTAGCACTTATTATTAAGCACAAGGATTTCTTTATGCAGTTATTGGAAAAATTCCTTTCAGGAAAGAACTCGTTGCAATGGTTTGTTCTTGGTTTGTTTTCGTTACTTTTACCTTCCATATCACGGCAAGAAAAGTGCATGTTTACATCAAATCTCATTCAAGATATCCATATCATTCACTGGAGGGAATACGTTGTCCTGAAACTCGCCAATTACATTGCCAGCAGGTTTGTAGTTAGCCACAACAATGACTTTACCACATCTCGATTTGGCTTTTCCAACGCCAAAATCTGTACTGCTTCGCCAGACCATTTGAGTAAAATGACCTATAAGAAAATTAACAAGCTTATGATTTCCAAAATTAGATAGAAAAGTTAATTGTTCAATTTTTGTGAACTAATAAGCTTTTACTCTTATTACATATATTGCATACACGATACTATAATTTTCCATTTGGAAGTTAACGCTGCTTTCCTAAGTCTCTGCCAAAAGAAAAAGAAACGCTTAGGTATTCTTCTGTTAAATCAGGTAAATAATGATGATATATAATTTATAACTGTTATGATTTTATATAATTTATTAAAAAGTGCTAGGTTAAATTTAGTTAATTTTTCGTCAGTCTCCAGCTGAAAATGTTCTTGACAAAATGAAGAGAAAAAAGCGAAGAGAAAGTGCTTGTGATGTAATACTTTATTTTTTACTCCAACAATTAATCTGAACTTATAAAAAAATGAATGTTCTTAAGAGTTGTTCTTTCATTTTGATGAATCGGCAATATCTTAACATGTTTAATATTTTTCTTTATTATAAATTTACGTTATTTGTCGTTTTTCACTTGTAACAGCTCCTTTTTCAGTAAAACAGTATACATACTAGTTTAAAAGTTAAAGTTTCGCACAGAGTTTAATGCAACGTGACTACTCTAAACAGAAATAATTCGCAATTTTGCATATGGTTCCGTGCGCTCTCGTATGTAAGAGTTGAAGAAACTGCGCAAGCTCGTGTTTTCTTTCTTTTCTTTTTTTTTTTCAGAGCATTGGAGAACAAATTTCTTGTTGCATTTATACAAGAACTTGATCTTACCTAATTTGAGTGTAGGGATTTCCAATCTGAAATTATTTTTGTTTCGAAAGCTACACATATTTTTTTAAAAATAGTACTTTTAATTCAGTTTTTTTCTTGTCTAAATGAAGAAGTTTTTAAGCAACATATATATATATATATATATATATATNACATTTTAAATACTGTCATACTTTAAATTCATAAAATCCTTATTTATGACATTAAAAATTATTTAAATATATAACTAAGCATCATGAAAACAGTCAAATTGATTAAAATAACTTCAGTGGGATAGCATATTTTCTTTAACCAATTTTTTAGTGGGAACAACCCATTTAGTTAATAGCTGATTCGCACAAAAATTTAGTAATAATAGGTAATTGGAAGTGAATCTACTCTTGATTTTCAAAAGCCTACAAGTTATTGAGTAATTTTTATTTACAAATCAGAAACACGTTACCTAGGTATGAAATATTTAAAATATTTTAAAAGTTGCTGCTTTTTTTTTTTTTTTTTTTTTACTTTTTGCGTTTCTTACTGGTTGCGTCATTTGCAGGAGTGTGTTGTATGTATTTGCGAGAAACTTTCGAGAATATTAATTTATTCTATCTATTTGTATCTAAGACGGTCCCCAAAATTTTAAAACTATTCTATTGATAAAATAACTACTAATTTAGAAATTTGAGATTAATTTTGAAATGAAACAACTGACAGATTACATTAAGAAATCAAATTTACGTGATGAATATTCATTTATTAGAAAATTCAAACATTATTAATTTATATAAACTATTCGAATGATATACAGTGTGTCCATTATAGTATAATTAAAGTACAGTTTAATGTTAGTAATAATTACTGTTGTCAAGAATTTAATAACCCTTTCTCGCCAGTCTGATTTGACCATGACAACAATGATACCAGATATTGTAGAACTGCATGCGTGATTGTCATGCCTTTTAACATCACATACGTAGTTGCGCCTGTAAGTACGTAAACTAAATTAAACTCGATTCAACTATTGAATAATATTAGGAGTAAAATTTAACCATATCAAAATAGCTGATTTATAAATAACCGAATGGATATTTCTTTCCTACAAAGAAACGCATCAATTAATTATAAAGTTGCATGTTCTACAAGCTAATTCGGTTCTTGCTTTTTCCTAGATATGATATATCAAGCTGTTCAAAAAGTTATTTGGTCATGAGTTTCAAAGCCGGCTAAAAACTTAATACAATTTATATATATATATATATATATACGTGTCTTCATCTTTTGAAAATAACACTTTAAGCAAATAAAAAGTATATTACCTTAACTTATCGCATTAAAAAATGGGGGATACTAAGTATTCAATAGTGTAAGTTTTAAGAAATCCTGGTTAGGAACATGAAACTGTAGATTATTCAAAGAAACCGATTGCAGCTGTAAAATGAATGACGAGGAAATATCTGACATCAGTTCAAAAATCTCATGCAAAAGGAAGAAAAAAAGATCCCCTGTGTTATTAATATGAATAAAGGTATGTAAATTTGTACAAAAATCGCCATCCAGACAATTCAATGTTTTTAAATTTAAAAAAATTTATGATCCTTTTTTTCGAAGTTACTGAAAATTTTCGACTTCGAAGTACAATATTGATACTTTAATTCATCACCTTTTTTTTTAATATTGAAATTAAAAACCAGAAAAGGAAATCTAAATTTAGTTTGAATGTTTTTTTAATTTTTTTTAAAAGTAGTCTGTTTCAAAATTTACGAAAAATAATTGTTGAGCACCAAACAAATTTAAAATAAATAACACATTTTAAATTTCATTCACTGGGATTTAATAATATTTGAGACATATTGTTGTAATTTTAAAAAAAAAACAGAAAATAGTGTTAAAAATTTAAAAAAAAACATTCAACAGCACCATTCGAAGTTTCAGACAGGGAAAGTGTAAAAAAAGTAATATCTAACGTTTTACTTGAGGTTATAGCAAGATATTTGAAATAAATTAAAAAATAATGCAATGATATTTTTTGTGAAAAAAAAAAACAAATTTCAAAATACCTAATAAGTTTCGGAAATAAAAACAAATATTAGGATGCCGAACCGCTTAAAAAAGGTAGCGAACAAAAATATTTTAAATTCTAAATATGTAAAACCTACCTGCTCTAGTATGAAGCAAACTGGGATCTTGAAAGAAATTGTATGATTTGATTTCTTCATACCAATATTTTGTGACTTGTCGTGCTGAAAGTAAAATAAAATCCTATTAAAAATTTGCAATAGCTGCATGAAAATTGTTTTTAATGTGTAACAATAAACAACCAAAATGGAATTAAAATTATTCAGGATGGAAAAATGAATGGAAAAAAAAATTGCAATTGTATCTGCTTCGAAATTTTCAAACAGTTACAAAAAAACTTCTTTTTTTCCATAATAGCTCTGATGTCTTCATTTAGTGCTCATTCAATAAAGAAAAAAAAGTTAAACTATGGCCAATTTTTTTCAATTTTTAGTGTGGCATGCAAAAATATGTGTCTGCAAAATAAATGTGTTCAAATCGTACACATTTATTAAACACAATATTATAAAAAAATATTTCGTTTAATTTTTAAATTCATATAACACAAATTACTTAAAATATTTTTCTCAAGATATTTTTTTTTTAAATTAAAATAGCGAATAGATTTCTGCCTTTTCTGTTTCACAGAAGTCTGCTTTTGGACAAACGAAAATAAGCTGAACAAGAAAATTGTAGAGCATTTTAGATAGGAAATTTGTTAAACATATAGAAGTGAGAAGGTGTCTCTGAGTATTGGTAATCCCGCTTTTTGGTAAACTGGTAAATCTAAGAATACCAGTCAAACTGTAAGATCACACAGAAAATTCCTTTTTTTTTTGTGCTATTCTTTTGTTTTAATGTAGAAATCTTGGTTTTTAAAGTATTAAAGAAAAGTAGTTTTTTTCACCATGAGTACTGAATGATTTAAACATATAACTCAACGGCAAAATATATGAATATATATATATATACATATATATATATATATGTAATACAAAAATTAAATACTTTTGTATTAATAAAAGCATTAAAACTTCATTCGTTTTCATAAAATATCTTTGGTTAAGGATAAGGGCTGAAATTCTATTTTTTCTTTTCTTTCTGTTACCCTTCACCTTATTTTTTTTTTCAATGTTTACTTTTACTGAAACATCTTCAACTTTTATTTTTTCAACATTTTTACCCTTAACATTTTGAGAATTTTGCTGTCTAATGTGCAAAGATAAGTTGTCATTGTTAGTATTAGCAGAGGTGATCAATCTCTTACCAAATTGAGTAACAACTGGCCCGACACAATCAATAAACAAACAAAACTCTTTGCAAGTCTGCAACCCAAGTAAAGCATATGGTAAATCAGTATCAATTACAAAAAACTTAACTGACTTAACAATTTTGCCTAATTTAAGGGGAAACTCACAAATTTTGTTAAGTGTTAGTTGTCCTTT